ATCGGCCCGCAGTATGGCCGTCGTGCTTGAAGGTGAGCAGTTCTCAGACGGTTTCGAACAGTTTGCGCGCTCAATCTACCCCTAAACAGTTCATTTCTGGTTGATGTAGCCGTCAAAAATCGGTTACGGAGGTGACGTAAGACAATCTGACGATCCTCTGCATGTGACGTCACACGTGGTCGACCTGGCCGAGGGCGATCAGCGGTGGTACCCGTTTGCTGTAGACGCGTCTGTAAATCATAAACAGTCCGTCCACTACAACCAATCGTCCTTGCGACTTCAGCTACGGACGTTAACGTCTGCAACTACCGATGGCACCTTCACGTTGCACATTTGAAAGGCGTGGCATGACAAATGGCCGTAAAGACTTTTGTTTTCTTGTGTTTTTCTTTTTTTGTTAATGACTGCTAACAAGTATGGCTGAAAACACGTGCGGTATTATGGCCACGTGACCAGTTGCACGTGAAAAAACATTTTTGCCACTATAGTGCTGTTCACATGATTTTGATCGGTTCACCTGCACAAAAACGGATGTTATCTGAAGACAATACGTGGCCATTACTGTTTAAATACACAATAAGGGCAAACAATGATAACTGGTCAAAATGTTAAAATTTTAGGATTGTGAAGTTTTTAATTTGGTTCGGTATATGATGATAATATCAACAATCCATATAAGTATTTACTGTATTTTAATAATGATGACTCCCTGAATAGAATCCGACCTCGGCAGTGTCGGACAAATCCATTTTATTAACAGGTGGGTTTGATCTTAGTATTTCCGGGATATTCTCACAGTCCCCACGTCGTTTGCCTTTACTTTGTCTTCCAGTACCAACTGTCATATCTCTCCCACTTCTGGAAGCGATTGTTCGACCACTGCGTGTATCTACGTACCCCAGCTACATCAAGGGATACAACTCACTGGACACTTCATTCGTGACCAACTCGTCTCATTCCGGGACAAGCCGAATGTAGCCTCGTGTCCCTCTCGTAGGATTCCCTATTGGCGAATGAATACGAGAGCCACTTCAAACAAGGACGATAACTCTTATTCTACCTGCGTCTTACAGTAAAATGAATGTAGGTGTTACAACAGCAAGCGCATATTCCTGTTGTAAAAGTACTGAACCTCTCATGATATATTATTTTGTACAAAAATATATTTGGCAAGCCATCCAACTCATTTTTTTTGTCAACTGTTTATCTTTTATTAGCAATTTATTCATTTTTAAATATATTAAATTAAAGGAAAATTGACGAGACGAATGTGGTTTTTCTGATTTAAGTAATTTCAACAATGAATTTCTAACAGATGTAGATGTAGTTTTCGATGCGTGAAACGAATTCTTTATTTCTCATTTATTTTATGACTGAATCTGTCCTTTCACGGACGGCCTTAACAAATAGTACACACATTTTATATCAATTTATTACAGTAAGATGATGAAGGAATACCATATCTACCATGTCTAGAGATTACGAAGTGCAGTCACGAGTACACACAACGACAAAACGAACGAGGTAACAAATCGGACAAAAGGTTTCAAGCCGTTGAGGCCTACAAGTACAGATATGGAAACTGATCCCGCTTGGCTAGTGCCCTCGCTAAATTGTTTCGCAATTTATATCTCCAAAGTTGACAAAACTTGTAAAATGCCTTAGCCACGACAGTTAGACACCGAGTTTCGGTACATTAGAGTGTTCTTTTGATAATGGCAGCTGTTATCCCTTTAGGTTTATCCAGATTCCGGATGGTTAATTCTGACGCCATCGCCGAATGACGAGGGCGACGCCATGTTTGTTAATAAACACTGAAAGTTGTCCCTATTTGACCTTTGATATTTGCATCTCTATCCGAATATGACCCCTAACGGATATCATTAATATCCGTTGACTTTATCCTTCAAGGAAACCATCCCATCATGTGATAAAGAGAGTTTTAGTCGTATTTATTTCAGCTTTGTATAAAATCCGTTTCAAATGTAGCGTGAAAACAACACCAGTGATTGCTCAGGGACAGTTTTGCAAACATTATTTGCTGTCGAAAATATACCTGCAAAACATGTACAGAAATAGGTCTCCACTGCATGCACCGAATGAAGGATGTTTACTAGACTTAGGCTGTAGTTGAGTGACACAGAGGAGGCGGATTGCAAACAAGTTTTAAATATTTTAGCATTTAAAATCTTTGTCAAAACTAAAACGACTTCAATATAATGTTTTAAATTTGTTTCCATAGTAATGCCAATCCTGAAAGGTGAACCTGACATTTTGTTTGTGACACGAATCCGGATATAGAAAAATCCCAATTTGCGCATGTAATATACTGAACAACTAAAGTTCCTGTGACATTGAATAAGATTTAATGCAAATTGCAAATGACCAAACCTGTCCTGTTTTCATTTGTTAAGGCTGTCTCAGGTGATCGTGTTCTTACGCCGACGCCTTTCTAATGCTGTCTAGGACAAGACATTCTGGATAGCTTCAGACAATTAACAATTCTTTACGTTCTTCAAACTGGTCCTGCCTTTTGGAGTAATTCGATACTATCGCACACACTCTTCTTGTCAAACAGTACGGAATGTTTCTTTTCGTGTAGCCTGGATGGTAGGATAACAAATCCAGATATTGATGAGAATCTGTACTTTTGCAGTACAAATCAGTTCCCAATGTCCTAATTTGTACATTAGGAACTGATCTGTACTATAAAATCGCGCTTTTATTTACCTAGTTATACATACACTTTTCAAAAACGAAAAGAACAGGTAGATTATAAATTTATTGTACCTAATAAAGTCGAATAAAAAAATAAAATAATTTAATATCATTGATACAAATATGAAATCTTATAGCTCTATAGTCACATGGTGTCGTTGCACAAAGGCATTGAAAACTGTTCATTGTCATGTCACATAAGACAACAAGGTTGCGCTGAACTCTCGTGTGACCGCCCCGGGCAGCAATCACGGCTCTGCATCTCCTCGGCACTGACTGGATAAGTGTACAAATTCTGTCCTGCGGAATTCTGCGCCATTCTGCTTGTAACGCGTTGGCCAGTTGTGGGAGTGTCTGTGGCGTGTTTTGACGTTGACGTACACGTCGATCTATTCATCCCAGAGGTGTTCGATTGGGTTGTTATCTGGAGATCTCGACGGCCAGGGCAAGTCGTTGATGTTGGCATTATGAAGGTAGTCTACCGTGACACGAGCTGTGTGCGGTGGGGCGTTGTCCTGTTGAAACAGCTCCCACTCCAATCAATGATTGGAAGAAGGTGAAGTTGAAGAATTTGATTCATGTAGCGATTTGCTGTCATACTTCCCTGAACCACAATTCAAGTCAGATCTCGTGGTGTTGGATATGGCCCCCCACACCATGACACTTCCGCCACCGAAATTGTCGAATTCACGTACACAATGTCGGGCAAAACGCTCATCTCGACGACGATAATCACGTTGTCTTCCATCTCGCCGGTGAAGAAGAAATCGTGATTCATCGCTAAACCACACTCGTCTCCAGTTTCTCAAATTCGCAAGTATCGCTGTCGATGGACAGGGACGATAACTGGTCTTCTGGGTCGGATTCCAGCCTCGCGAAGATGGTTCTTGACAGTCTGGTTCGATATCCTCCTCAAACCAGGGATGCGTCCTGCAGTCTTCGTAGCTGTGACATTGCGATGACGTAGGTGGAACAGTCGATTGTAGCGATCCTGTGCAGGGGTGGTAACTCTTGGTCGGCCGGTTCTCGGACGGTCTGCAGTGGAATTGAACTGTGTGTATCGTCCCCAAAGGCGGCAAATGGTGGTGTGGTGGACGTTGAAGTGGCGTGCAACAGAAGACTGCGATTCCCCTCTTTGGATACGTCCTATGGCGATGTTCCGATTGGGAGCGCTGAGTATTGGCATTTTCGAACTTGAAAAATGTTGACAATTGAATGACAAATTTTTGGCTTATGCTTGTCTTTTTATAGCCACTACCACGAGTTACGAATGCCATAACTTGCACGTGCATTTTGCTTTACTGTTATCCCCCATGACATTTTTTAACAAGTGTGATAACAATGCAGTTTAAGACATTGCAAATCGACAATGGCTGCGTTTGGACTCAGCGTTTGTCGAAAATCAGGCCTCAAACAATTTCCAATAACATATATTCAATTTATATACCATATTTTTTGTCTAGTCAGGTTCAATGAACTACATACTACCTGTGCGTTTCTCTTTTTGAAGCGTGTATATGCATTGTATATTTTGACACGTGAGTTGTTGTGTAGGATTGAACGTATATATTTTTCATGACAGTTAATCATGAAGATCCGTACTCCGAGGTCTAGTGGTAGAGCGTCCGCCCGGAGAACGGAAGGTCCGGGGTTCGATCCCCGGCCACGTAATACAAAAGGACGGTAAACGATGGTACTTGTTGTTACCTTGTCTGGCGCTCGGCATTAAGGGGCTAAAACAAGGACTGGTCGGCTCGGAGTCAGTATACTGTGTCTGAGGGGTATTCATGTAAAACTACCGCATGGTATCTCATTGGGCTTGTATATAAATCCGAAACGCAGCCACACACGCACGCACACACACGCATTCACCATGGTCGTGTCTCATGGGATCGTCAAGGTCTGGTGATTAGAATCTTATATATATCAAATGTTTGACTGTGATACGATACCTCTCTGAGAGTGGAAGACCATTTCCAAATACGTGTCTTGACGTTGAAATTACTGTCTGGTGTTAAATGATGACATTGTTACAGATGTTATAAAGCTGAAGTAGGCACACGAGTAGTAATAGTGTATTCAGAAGTATTATAGACCATCATATATAAACTAATAAATGTTTTAAGATGCTTACATTTGATAACATAAGCATATTATATTTATAGATTATGTTTCAAAAGGTTCACTATGTTATATATGGTTCAACACCGGAGAAAAGTAAAAATAAGGAGTATCCAAATGTTTTCGTACTATTTAATAATGCAAAATGCCAATCTTGTTCATACAAAACCTTTAGCTTTCCTAAAATTCATTGAAACATAACGTTTCATTTCGTAACATCTGTTATTGTATTCGAAACACAATATATTTGTACACCATTACATTGTTCTTTTCACGAAGTCAAAAGCACTTTGATAACACGATCGATCACGAAAAATAACTACAAGAGGAACCAAAATATCTTGAAAGACCATAAAAAATTCTGCTGTGATCAGGTCCAGTACATAATTTTTACATCTGTAATTGTTGCACAAATCTCAGCGCTGTTCGAATGACAAGGTTCATTCATGCTGGGACAACTGCCCAAACTACCTCCTATTTAATCGTCTTTGCAGCACCAGTAGCAGATATAGCAACAGCATGCCGGGGGCAAGAGGCAAAAGAGGATCCACGTGGGTACAGAGAAGCCGACAGCGTGGGTGAATAGAAGGCTTTCCTTGCAGGGGGAAGCATGGAGCCAGATGGAACCTAGACGGATAAAAACGTTTTCGCATTTTCCTCAGTGGTAGTCCAATGTTACGTAACAGTGGAAATGAAAGGCATAATTTGATTAATATTTTCTCATATATGTCCTCTACAATTATCCTTTATAAGAACGGAAAACAATTGTGATATTTCAAATCTATATAGTGCACGTCTTAACTTCTGTATAACCTGAATATTTAAATCTGCCCGTGAAGATCCGGGGTAGAATAGGTCTTCAGCAGCCCATTCATGCCGTAAAAGGCGTCTATGCTTGTCGACTAACGGGATCGGGTGGTCAGGCTCGCTGACTCGTTTCATGCATGTCATCGTATCCCAATTGCGTGGATCGATGCTCATGATGCAAATCACTGGATTATTTGGTCCAGACTCGATTATTTACAGACCGCGCCACATAGTTGGAACATTGCTGAGTGCGGCATTAAACAACAAACTAACAGATATTTGAATAATTTAAAATACATATTTCTTTAAAACAAGACATTAAATTATGGTTATCTTTATGAATGGGCGTAGAACATCTGTATCATGGAGGTTCTAATCCGTATCAATGTCGAAAATGCAACCATCTTAAAAAACAAACAAATACATTAATGACGATGGTAACGCCACGAATAACCATGGCAACTGTCCTGAAAACCTCACCTACGATTCCCCAGGCGACATTGAACAGTCCAATGATGACACAAATGTAGGTTATAAGTTTTCCTGAAATACAATGGCAGCAGCTCCAACAGGAGGTGAGGATGGGGATGACGACATAGGTGGCCCCCTGGCCAATCAAGTAGATTGCAAGTTTGGTGTGTCCTGGACACAGGTTGTAATCAAGGATACCTGGTGAAATGAGAACATCACATATCTACATGAAATACACTGCGTGGTTGGGAGGCTTTCTTTCTTCTCTGTCAACACATTAAGCAGTCATTTAATGGGAAATTGAGGTTCCTTTTTACGTAGGTGTTTTGTTTGGATCGTAGTAAACAAAGAAAAGACATAGGCATGGCTACTGACGCCATGAGGGTGAGTGGGGTTTTGTTGAATTATGAGAAATTGTAGCGAGTGAAAGTGGCTTAGGTGAAAGTTCTCTGACGGTTTCCTGCAGCAAAAATATGCTACACTTAACCATTTCATCCTGCTCTCTCGGCGTTTTTGTGTGAAGAATAAATGTATTTATATGTGTGCAGCGTCAATACATGTGTAAACACCTAATGAACTGCATTCCTGTCCATAATAATAAAAAAAACACAATCGAAAAAATAAATCATGTATTTTAGTTTCCATTTATGATTCAGCTCCACGAAATAATCTGAATCTGGGGAAAATACATTGAAAATACCAATGCTTTACTAATACTGGCTTCAGCTGTAAGATGCGCGCCATAATATTGAAAACTCTCAACACAGCTGGGTTTATTAAATGATATTGCGTTTAGAGATGATAGATCACTGAGGTGAGCTGATGCACAGTTGATGACCCCAGCAACGCTGTTACTCGTCTGATATCACAGTATGTTTTGTGACGTATTTTGAGTGTCTTTGGTGCCTAAATCCAAAAGTAAGCCCTTTTATCATGTCTGTATCACGTTAATATCACATCTCTATCATTTCTGTACCATGTCCACATAATGTCTGGGGGAACACGGGTGGCCCAGTCGTCTATGATGCCGCAATTCGCTGTGCAGAGTTGCGTCCCTTTGGTACGCCAGAAATCTATGATTTTGGGTTCGAATCTTGGTTTGTCAGCACCATACCCGTGTTCGTGTGCTTCACCAAAGTAATCGTCGAAGACCTACATCACTTCTGGCTTTCCTCCCACATTAAACTGACACGCCGTGTTATAACTGGAATACTGTTACTCACACCCTATAATGTCCATATAAAACCTGTGTCATTTCTACACAATGTTGTTATAAGTTACCTTGGCCATATCAAATAGTAGCGTTGAAGAACTGTATGTGTATATTACCATAACACCATTTCTGTCATCTCATAATGATTCCAAATTTGGGATCTTACCAACGGTTATCATTGCGGCAGGAAGTGAACCAAGGATAATGGAAAAGACGCAGACCAACACCTTCGCTAAAACGGAAAAAGAACATTAGTGATACTGTCTTGAAAAATATATACATTGGATTGCATTTCAAATTTAAATAGATCTATAGCGTTGTGTTCACATCCTTTTCGTTACATAAATATAGGTGAGCTGAAACGGGGTTTAACGTCACGTCCAAGATTATTCCACTTGTATTTGCATGCACGTGTGCGTGTGCGTGTGTGCGTGCGTGTGTGTGTGTGTGTGTGTGTGTGTGTGTGTGTGTGTGTGTGTGTGTGTGTGTGTGTGTGTGTGTGTGTGTGTGTGTGTGTGTGTGTGTGTGTGTGTGTGTTGGTGTGTCTGTACTAGTCCGGACAAATACCAATTTATAGTGCAAGCCCACATGAATACCCCACTCAGACATAGTATACTGACTCCGAGCCGACCAGTTCTTGTTTTAGCCCCTGAATGCCGAGCGCCAGACAGGGCAACAACAAGTACCATATTTTAACGTCTTTTGGTATGACGGACCTTACGCTCTCCGGGCGGACGCTCTACCACTAGACCACGGACGCCTTCTACATAGATATAGCCTCCCTTGAAGCTTCACTTTTTAAACTGGCTGATCGTTTTCCCCCTGAGTCCTTAGTACACTGTGTACAATGTTATGGAATAAGGCAGACATAAGGATGCACTGGTAAATGATTACTTGTCATGGAGGTCTCATCGTCGTCGTCGTAGGACATGTCGACTGAATGTTGAGCGAGTGGTGTAGACTCCTCTTCTGTCAACAACATATTCATTTATTTCGAAATGTAACCATACCATTGTTCTTTGACGTAAACTTCATAGTGTGGCAACAATATAAAGTCCAGGTAGCGATCATTTGAAACAGAGTCTACTGTAACAAGATAATGTAAGCTAATGTAAGATATTCACCAAGTCCCTAGTTAACTCAAGATACTCACCATGTCCTAAGCCAACACTAAAACAAGATACTCATAAAGTCCTTAGCCAACACTAAACCTAGATACTCATCAAGTCCTTTGCAAACACCATAACAAGATACTCATCAAGTCCTTATCCAACACTAAAACATAATACTCATCAAGTCCTTAGTCAACACTGCACCAAGATACACACGAGGTCCCTAGCCAACACTACAAGAAGATACTCATCTTGTCCACTAGCCAACACTGTAACAAGATACTCACCATGTCCCTAGGCAACACTGTAACAAGATACTCACCAAGCCCCTAGCCAACACTATTCCAAGATACTCACCAAGTCCCAAACCAACACTTTAACAAGATACTCATCAAGTCCCTAGCCAACACTGTGACACGATACTCACCAAGTCCCTAGCCAACACTTTAACAAGAAACTCACAATGTTCCTAGCCAACACTGTGACACGATACTCACCATGTCCCTAGGCAACACTTTAACAAGATACTCACCAAGTCCCTAGTCAACACCATAACAAGATACTCACAAAGTCCCCAGCCAACACTGTAACGAGATACCCATCATGTCCCTAGCCAACATTGTACCAATATACTCACCAAGTCCCTAGCCAACACTTGAACAAGATACTCACCACCTAGCCAACACTACAACAAGATACTCATCAAGTCCCTAGCCAACACTGTAACACGATACTCATTATGTCCTTAGCCAACACTGTAACACGGTACTCATTATGTCCCTAGCCAACACTTTAACAAGATCCCACCAAGTCCCTAGCCAACACTATGATACGATACTCATCATTTCCCTAGCCAACACTGTAACAAGATACTCACCAAGTCTCTAGCCAGCACTGTAACACGATACTCATCATGTTTCTAACCAACACTGTAACACGATACTCATTATGTTTCTAACCAACACTGTAACAAGATACTCATCATGTTTCTAACCAACACTGTAACACGATACTCATCATGTTTCTAACCAACACTGTAACAAGATACTCATCATGTTTCTAACCAACACTGTAACACGATACTCATAATGTTTCTAACCAACACTGTAACAAGATACTCACCAAGTCCCTAGCCAACACTTTAACAAGATCCCACCAAGTCCCTAGCCAACACTATCATACGATACTCACCATTTCCCTAACCAACACTGTAACAAGATACTCATCATGTTTCTAGCCAACACTGTAACAAGATACTCATAAAGTCCCTAGCCAACACTGTAACAAGATATTCATAATGTTTCTAGCCAACACTGTAACAAGATACTCATCATGTTTCTAGCCAACACTGTGACACGATACTCATCATGTTTCTCACAAACACTGTAACAAGACACTCACCAAGTCCCTAGCCAACACTGTAACAACATACTCCCCAAGTCCCCAGCCAACACTGTAACAAGATACTCATCAAGTCCCTAGCCAACACTGTAACAACATACTCACCAAGTCCCTAGCCAACACTATAACAAGATACTCATCAAGTCCCTAGCAAACACTGTAACAAGATACTGGTCAAGTCCCTAGCCAACACTGTGACACGATACTTATCATGTTTCTAGCCAACAATGTGACACGATACTCATAATGTTTCTAGCCAACACTGTAACAAGATACTTATCAAGTCCCTAGCCATTTTTGTAACAAGATACTCACCAAGTCCCTAGCCAACACTGTAACAAGATATTCATAATGTTTCTAGCCAACACTGTGGCACGATACTCATCATGTTTCTAACAAACACTGTAACAAGATACTCACCAAGTCCCAAGCCAACACTGTAACAAGATACTCACCAAGTCCCTAGCCAACACTGTAACAAGATACTCAACATGTTTCTAGCCAACACCGTGACACGATACTCATCATGTTTCTAGCCAACACTGTAACAAGATACTCATCATGTTTCTAGCCAACACTGTAACACGATACTTTTCATGTTTCTAGCCAACACTGTAACACGATGCTCATCATGTTTCTAGCCAACACTGTAACAAGATATTCAACATGTTTCTAGCCAACACTGTAACACGATACTCATCATGTTTCTAGCCAACACTGTAACAAGATACTCATCATGTTTCTAGCCAACACTGTAACACGATACTTTTCATGTTTCTAGCCAACACTGTAACACGATGCTCATCATGTTTCTAGCCAACACTGTAACAAGATACTCATCATGTTTCTAGCCAACACTGTAACACGATACTCATCATGTTTCTAGCCAACACTGTAACACGATACTTTTCATGTTTCTAGCCAACACTGTAACACGATGCTCATCATGTTTCTAGCCAACACTGTCACAAGATATTCAACATGTTTCTAGCCAACACTGTAACACGATACTCATCATGTTTCTAGCCAACACTGTAACAAGATACTCATCATGTTTCTAGCCAACACTGTGACACGATACTCATCATGTTTCTCACAAACACTGTAACAAGACACTCACCAAGTCCCTAGCCAACACTGTAACAACATACTCCCCAAGTCCCCAGCCAACACTGTAACAAGATACTCATCAAGTCCCTAGCCAACACTGTAACAACATACTCACCAAGTCCCTAGCCAACACTATAACAAGATACTCATCAAGTCCCTAGCAAACACTGTAACAAGATACTGGTCAAGTCCCTAGCCAACACTGTGACACGATACTTATCATGTTTCTAGCCAACAATGTGACACGATACTCATAATGTTTCTAGCCAACACTGTAACAAGATACTTATCAAGTCCCTAGCCATTTTTGTAACAAGATACTCACCAAGTCCCTAGCCAACACTGTAACAAGATATTCATAATGTTTCTAGCCAACACTGTGGCACGATACTCATCATGTTTCTAACAAACACTGTAACAAGATACTCACCAAGTCCCAAGCCAACACTGTAACAAGATACTCACCAAGTCCCTAGCCAACACTGTAACAAGATACTCAACATGTTTCTAGCCAACACCGTGACACGATACTCATCATGTTTCTAGCCAACACTGTAACAAGATACTCATCATGTTTCTAGCCAACACTGTAACACGATACTTTTCATGTTTCTAGCCAACACTGTAACACGATGCTCATCATGTTTCTAGCCAACACTGTAACAAGATATTCAACATGTTTCTAGCCAACACTGTAACACGATACTCATCATGTTTCTAGCCAACACTGTAACAAGATACTCATCATGTTTCTAGCCAACACTGTAACACGATACTTTTCATGTTTCTAGCCAACACTGTAACACGATGCTCATCATGTTTCTAGCCAACACTGTAACAAGATACTCATCATGTTTCTAGCCAACACTGTAACACGATACTCATCATGTTTCTAGCCAACACTGTAACACGATACTTTTCATGTTTCTAGCCAACACTGTAACACGATGCTCATCATGTTTCTAGCCAACACTGTCACAAGATATTCAACATGTTTCTAGCCAACACTGTAACACGATACTCATCATGTTTCTAGCCAACACTGTAACAAGATACTCATCATGTTTCTAGCCAACACTGTGACACGATACTCATCATGTTTCTCACAAACACTGTAACAAGACACTCACCAAGTCCCTAGCCAACACTGTAACAACATACTCCCCAAGTCCCCAGCCAACACTGTAACAAGATACTCATCAAGTCCCTAGCCAACACTGTAACAACATACTCACCAAGTCCCTAGCCAACACTATAACAAGATACTCATCAAGTCCCTAGCAAACACTGTAACAAGATACTGGTCAAGTCCCTAGCCAACACTGTGACACGATACTTATCATGTTTCTAGCCAACAATGTGACACGATACTCATAATGTTTCTAGCCAACACTGTAACAAGATACTTATCAAGTCCCTAGCCATTTTTGTAACAAGATACTCACCAAGTCCCTAGCCAACACTGTAACAAGATATTCATAATGTTTCTAGCCAACACTGTGGCACGATACTCATCATGTTTCTAACAAACACTGTAACAAGATACTCACCAAGTCCCAAGCCAACACTGTAACAAGATACTCACCAAGTCCCTAGCCAACACTGTAACAAGATACTCAACATGTTTCTAGCCAACACCGTGACACGATACTCATCATGTTTCTAGCCAACACTGTAACAAGATACTCATTATGTCCTTAGCCAACACTGTAACACGGTACTCATTATGTCCCTAGCAAACACTTTAACAAGATCCCACCAAGTCCCTAGCCAACACTATGATACGATACTCATCATTTCCCTAGCCAACACTGTAACAAGATACTCACCAAGTCTCTAGCCAGCACTGTAACACGATACTCATCATGTTTCTAACCAACACTGTAACACGATACTCATTATGTTTCTAACCAACACTGTAACAAGATACTCATCATGTTTCTAACCAACACTGTAACACGATACTCATCATGTTTCTAACCAACACTGTAACAAGATACTCATCATGTTTCTAACCAACACTGTAACACGATACTCATAATGTTTCTAACCAACACTGTAACAAGATACTCACCAAGTCCCTAGCCAACACTTTAACAAGATCCCACCAAGTCCCTAGCCAACACTATCATACGATACTCACCATTTCCCTAACCAACACTGTAACAAGATACTCATCATGTTTCTAGCCAACACTGTAACAAGATACTCATAAAGTCCCTAGCCAACACTGTAACAAGATATTCATAATGTTTCTAGCCAACACTGTAACAAGATACTCATCATGTTTCTAGCCAACACTGTGACACGATACTCATCATGTTTCTCACAAACACTGTAACAAGACACTCACCAAGTCCCTAGCCAACACTGTAACAACATACTCCCCAAGTCCCCAGCCAACACTGTAACAAGATACTCATCAAGTCCCTAGCCAACACTGTAACAACATACTCACCAAGTCCCTAGCCAACACTATAACAAGATACTCATCAAGTCCCTAGCAAACACTGTAACAAGATACTGGTCAAGTCCCTAGCCAACACTGTGACACGATACTTATCATGTTTCTAGCCAACAATGTGACACGATACTCATAATGTTTCTAGCCAACACTGTAACAAGATACTTATCAAGTCCCTAGCCATTTTTGTAACAAGATACTCACCAAGTCCCTAGCCAACACTGTAACAAGATATTCATAATGTTTCTAGCCAACACTGTGGCACGATACTCATCATGTTTCTAACAAACACTGTAACAAGATACTCACCAAGTCCCAAGCCAACACTGTAACAAGATACTCACCAAGTCCCTAGCCAACACTGTAACAAGATACTCAACATGTTTCTAGCCAACACCGTGACACGATACTCATCATGTTTCTAGCCAACACTGTAACAAGATACTCATCATGTTTCTAGCCAACACTGTAACACGATACTTTTCATGTTTCTAGCCAACACTGTAACACGATGCTCATCATGTTTCTAGCCAACACTGTAACAAGATACTCATCATGTTTCTAGCCAACACTGTAACACGATACTCATCATGTTTCTAGCCAACACTGTAACACGATACTTTTCATGTTTCTAGCCAACACTGTAACACGATGCTCATCATGTTTCTAGCCAACACTGTCACAAGATATTCAACATGTTTCTAGCCAACACTGTAACACGATACTCATCATGTTTCTAGCCAACACTGTAACAAGATACTCATCATGTTTCTAGCCAACACTGTGACACGATACTCATCATGTTTCTCACAAACACTGTAACAAGACACTCACCAAGTCCCTAGCCAACACTGTAACAACATACTCCCCAAGTCCCCAGCCAACACTGTAACAAGATACTCATCAAGTCCCTAGCCAACACTGTAACAACATACTCACCAAGTCCCTAGCCAACACTATAACAAGATACTCATCAAGTCCCTAGCAAACACTGTAACAAGATACTGGTCAAGTCCCTAGCCAACACTGTGACACGATACTTATCATGTTTCTAGCCAACAATGTGACACGATACTCATAATGTTTCTAGCCAACACTGTAACAAGATACTTATCAAGTCCCTAGCCATTTTTGTAACAAGATACTCACCAAGTCCCTAGCCAACACTGTAACAAGATATTCATAATGTTTCTAGCCAACACTGTGGCACGATACTCATCATGTTTCTAACAAACACTGTAACAAGATACTCACCAAGTCCCAAGCCAACACTGTAACAAGATACTCACCAAGTCCCTAGCCAACACTGTAACAAGATACTCAACATGTTTCTAGCCAACACCGTGACACGATACTCATCATGTTTCTAGCCAACACTGTAACAAGATACTCATCATGTTTCTAGCCAACACTGTAACACGATACTTTTCATGTTTCTAGCCAACACTGTAACACGATGCTCATCATGTTTCTAGCCAACACTGTAACAAGATATTCAACATGTTTCTAGCCAACACTGTAACACGATACTCATCATGTTTCTAGCCAACACTGTAACAAGATACTCATCATGTTTCTAGCCAACACTGTAACACGATACTTTTCATGTTTCTAGCCAACACTGTAACACGATGCTCATCATGTTTCTAGCCAACACTGTAACAAGATACTCATCATGTTTCTAGCCAACACTGTAACACGATACTCATCATGTTTCTAGCCAACACTGTAACACGATACTTTTCATGTTTCTAGCCAACACTGTAACACGATGCTCATCATGTTTCTAGCCAACACTGTAACAAGATATTCAACATGTTTCTAGCCAACACTGTAACACGATACTCATCATGTTTCTAGCCAACACTGTAACAAGATACTCATCATGTTTCTAGCCAACACTGTGACACGATACTTATCATGTTTCTAGCCAACACTGTAACAAGATACTCATCATGTTTCTAGCCAACACCGTGACACGATACTCATCATGTTTCTAGCCAACACTGTAACAAGATACTCATCAGGTTTCTAGCCAACACTGTGACACGGTACTCACCAAGTCCCTAGCCAACACTGTAACACGATACTTTTCATGTTTCTAGCCAACACTGTGACACGATACTCATAATGTTTCTAGCCAACACTGTGACACGATGCTCATCATGTTTCTAGCCAACACTGTAACAAGATATTCAACATGTTTCTAGCCAACACTGTAACACGATACTCATCATGTTTCTAGCCAACACTGTAACAAGATACTCATCATGTTTCTAGCCAACACTGTAACACGATACTCATAATGTTTCTAGCCAACACTGTAACACGATGCTCATCATGTTTCTAGCCAACACTGTAACAAGATATTCAACATGTTTCTAGCCAACACTGTAACACGATACTCATCATGTTTCTAGCCAACACTGTAACAAGATATTCAACATGTTTCTAGCCAACACTGTAACACGATACTCATCATGTTTCTAGCCAACACTGTAACAAGATACTCATCATGTTTCTAGCCAACACTGTAACACGATACTCATCATGTTTCTAGCCAACACTGTAACACGATACTCATAATGTTTCTAGCCAACACTGTAACACGATGCTCATCATGTTTCTAGCCAACACTGTAACAAGATATTCAACATGTTTCTAGCCAACACTGTAACACGATGCTCATCATGTTTCTAGCCAACACTGTAACAAGATATTCAACATGTTTCTAGCCAACACTGTAACACGATACTCATCATGTTTCTAGCCAACACTGTAACAAGATATTCAACATGTTTCTAGCCAACACTGTAACACGATACTCATCATGTTTCTAGCCAACACTGTAACAAGATACTCATCATGTTTCTAGCCAACACTGTAACACGATACTCATCATGTTTCTAGCCAACACTGTAACACGATACTCATAATGTTTCTAGCCAACACTGTAACACGATGCTCATCATGTTTCTAGCCAACACTGTAACAAGATATTCAACATGTTTCTAGCCAACACTGTAACACGATGCTCATCATGTTTCTAGCCAACACTGTAACAAGATATTCAACATGTTTCTAGCCAACACTGTAACACGATACTCATCATGTTTCTAGCCAACACTGTAACAAGATACTCATCATGTTTCTAGCCAACACTGTAACACGATACTTATCATGTTTCTAGCCAACACTGTAACAAGATATTCAACATGTTTCTAGCCAACACTGTAACAAGATACTCATCATGTTTCTAGCCAACACTGTAACAAGATACTTATCAAGTCCCTAGCCAACACTTAAACAAGATACTCACCAAGTCCCTAGCCAACACTGTAACAAGATACTCATCATGTTTCTAGCCAACACTGTAACACGATACTCATCATATTTCTAGCCAACACTGTGACAAGATACTTACCAAGTCCCTAGCCAACATTGTAACAAGATACTCATCATGTTTCTAGCCAACACTGTAACACGATACTCATCATGTTTCTAGCCAACACTGTGACACGATACTCATCAAGTCCCTAGCCAACACTATAACAAGATACTTATCATGTTTCTAGCCAACACTGTAACAGGATACTCACCAAGTCCCAAGCCAACACTGTAACAAGATACTCACCAAGTCCTTAGCCAACACTGTAACAGGATACTCACCAAGTCCCAAGCCAACAAAACAATATGGACACAAATCATGGCCATGACCCTGAATGTGTACCTCACATTTCAACAAGCTGTAGATAGCTTTCTCCACCCAGCATGGCGTAGGGCACTCACCACTTCCCGTGATGTCAACTATTCCAGCGAATTGACCGAAGACCTGCCGGGTGCGGACCTCTGAAATATAAACACTGTTATATTTCAAGGTATATTGTCCATGGCATGCACGGTTGCCCTCCTGAGAAAGACATGTACAAAATTTAATGATAAGAAAGGATGTACATATATTGTTCTGTACAGCAGACCAATAATGGATTTCCAGACATAGGTCACGTTTGAGCTGTAAATATACGGGTAAGGCGAAATAGGGTTCAACGTTGCGTTCAAGATTACTTCACCTTTACAGCGAAATAATGTTCGCGCGAGCGCATGCTTGCGTGCGTGTGGCTACTTGCATGCACTAGTACAGACTTACATCGGTTTTATGTGGTAGCCCACTGAGATACCATGCCACAGTTTAACATGGATACCCCACTCAGCCACATTATTCTGGCTCCGAGCCGACCAATCCTTGTTTACCCAGTTAGCTTTCCCCTTAATCTACAGGGTCCGTGGGGTAGCCTGGTGATTAATGCATTCGCTCGTCACACCGAAGACCCAGGTTCGTTTCCCGGCATGGGTACAATGTGTGCCAATTTCTGGAAACAGCTGTGGTTGCCCAATCGTCATTTCAGCACAAGAATCGTCAGGAACCGGTCGAAAGCAGCAGAACTGAGGGCTAGACGAGTCATAAAGCGTCCCTTGTTGAGAGATCACCACAAAGCTGCTCGTTTAGCATGGTGTATTGCGCGACAGAACTGGAATCTGAGAACTTCGAGACGGATCCATTGGTCAGACGAAAGTCGCTTTCTGCTCCACGTCACTGATGGAAGAACGAGAGTTTGGAGGCACCGGAACACGGCCTACACCCCAAGGAATATTAAAACGATTGTTGCATACGGCGAGGGCTCGGTAATGGTTGGGGGGTGTATCTCTCATGATTGCAGGTTGGATTTGGTCACCATAAGGGGTAATCTAACAGGGGCTCAGTACATCCTGGACGTTTTGGGGGCCAATGCAATAACGACTCTACCCTGGCCAGCAATGAGCCCAGATTTGAACCCCCTCGAACATGTTTGGGATTTTCTGGGGCGGCGCATACAGGCACGAGATACTCCTGTACAAGATTTACGCCAATATGGAAGCAGCATTGCATCAGGAGTGGTTGTTGTTGACCCATCAACAGATCCAACGTCTGACTGGAGGCATAAGATGTAGGGTGGAATGCGTCATCCGGGCACTTGGCGGTTATACCCACTTCTGATCTGTTTCACGTGTCATGTCAAGTAGAGACTTTCAGGAACATTTTCACATGAAACATCAAACGTAACTCGTTTACTTAATCCTGCAGCTCCATACCTTTTTTAGGTATTGTCTAAGGTCAAAAACAGTACCTGTGTTACCATGATGTTTTTGTCAGTAAATTTCAATCACAACTCATTAATACCTTCTTTATATGTTGTCAAATGTTTGTTCTATCCGATGACATTGATATCGCCCAGCTCCTGTGGTCAGTCATCCCATGCCTTGATTTTTGCCATTTGTCATTTCAGAAATAGGGGTGTGCTTAACTTTCTTCTTTGATTATATTTTCGAAAATATTCAAATTCAAACCAAGGTAGTAATTGATTAACAGAAACGTTATAAATCTGTGGGTACTCTATATTAATATCAGTAGAAGAATTATCACATCATGTCTCCATATTGTGTAAGTGCCATTCATACTATATACAAGGAAAAGTATGTAAGGGAATCCCTGTCTTTTCAGTTAGAAGAATGTAATTACCATATTTGTTGCAAGAGACAGTTACTAAACGCGGATAGCAAACTCGCTCAAACTATGCACATTGCACATTTAAAACATGCCATCCACGGTGATACATCCTGATTACTTGCATGTGCCAGTAAAACTCCCTACCACATGGTTCATTGATCGGGACAAAGAAGGAAAATGCCTCGAAAAGTGACAGAAAATGAAAAACTGATCCTGGCTCATTACAGGATGAAGTTGCCAGACGCTTTGGAAACCTAAAACTGTAATATCCCAACTGGTGGGTATCGGCAAGCGGGTGGAGTTACGATGAGGGTAGGTAGAGGAAGGCCAAGAAAGACTCCTCCCAGAGAGGATCGATATGTTGAGGAACAGATTCATTTCCGCACCAGAATTGAGGGACAACTTCAGGCATGCCACAGTAATCCGACTTTCGACGTCTACTATGCGAAACAGGCCGATAAATGCGGACTTGAAATCAAGACATCTGTCCAGAGGATTTCTCTGACTGGCACACAGACGCCTCAGACAACAGTGGCATTGGAGATACATCCGGCGTTCTGATTTATCGACTTAATGTTTACTAATGCTTTACAGATGGCAGACAACGTGTTTGGAGATTCCACCAATCATATTACTTGTAGTTTCTTCAAACAAAATGGTGGCGCCTACACAAGACGATCTGATTGATAATCAAGATCTATATTGCTATAAAACGGGTCTTACCTCGCAAAGTGCATCACATTTCTTGAGCACCTTCATTTGAAAAGATTTGGAAAATATTTGTCGACGCCCAGTTGACGGTATACATGCTTTGCAAATACTGTAATCGACTGAACTCTGCAAGCACGGCTGTTTACGAACCGGATGTTGATTTCGTTGCGCGATTTTGATTGGACTATGATTGGACTATGATTGGACATAGTTTTTCCAAAACTCTGAAATTCCAGCCTAGTTCGGCAAGGGTGGAAACTGGACCTTTAAAGTCAGTAAAGTCCGGTGCCAAGGGAAGAAGATGCGTGCTGTAAGATATCACATCCTCATGAACAACATAATAAATGCGTGAAAAAATATAAACATAAATCTATTGAATAAGTCAGAAGCATTCTGAAATAACGGTAAAAAGATTACTTACGGAACACTGTCAAAAGTGCATTTCCTTCTTCATCTGTAAAAAGGAAAAGATAGCATCGTTGGTTTCTTACGTGTGACATCAGCGTTCTTATATTTCAAAATGTTTCTAGCTGGCAATCTGTAGGATAGGAAATTGTCTCAGCAAATTCATGATTCGGTATTAGAATATCCATCACATCTCAGTATTACAGAGTCGTTACAACCTTGTCCTGATTTAACGTCTCAGTATTACAGAGTCGTTACAACCTGGTCCTGATTTCACATCTCAGTATTACAGTGTCGTTAAAACCTTGTCCTGATTTCACATCTCAGTATTACAGTTTCGAAAGCACTTTGTCCTGATTTCACATGTCAGTATAACAGTGTCGGTAAAACCTTGTCCTGGTTTCACATCTCAGTATTATAGTGTTGGAACAACCTTGTCCTGATTTCACATCTGAATATTACAGCTTCTTCACAACCTAGTCCTGATATCACATCTCAGTATTACAGTGTCGTTACAATCTTGTCCTGATATAACATCTCAGTATTACAGTGTCGTTACAACCTTGTCCTGATTTCACATCTCAGTATTACAGTGTCGTTACAATCTAATCCTGATTTTACATCTCAGCTTAGAGTGTCGTTACAACCTTGTACTGATTGCACATTTCAGTATTACAGCGTCGTTACAACCTTCTCCTGGTTTCACATCTCAGTATTACAATGTCGTTAAAACCTTGTCCTGAATACATCTCAGTATTACAGTGTGGATACAACCTTGTCCTGAATACATCTCAGTATTACAGTGTCGTTACAACTTTGTCCTGATTTCACATCTCAGTTTTACGATGTCGTTACAACTTTGTCCTAATTTCACATCTCAGTATCACAGTGTCGTTACAACCTGGTCCTGATTTCACATCTCAGTATTAGAGTGTCGGTGCAACTTTGTTCTCATTTCACATCTGAGTATTACAGTGTCATTACAATCTTGTCCTGATTTCACATTTCAGTATTACAGTGTCGTTACAACCTTTTCCTGGTTTCACATCTCAGTATTACAGTTTCGTTACGACCTAGTCCTGGTTTAACATCTAAGTATTACAGTGTAGTAACAACCTTGTCCTGATTTCACATCTTAGTATTACAGTGTCGTTACAACCTTGTCCTGGTTTAACATCTTAGTATTACAGTGTCGTTACAACCTAGTCCTAATTTCACATCTCAGCTTACGGTGTCGTTAAAACCTTGTCCGGGTTTCACATCTCAGCTTACAGTGTCGTTACAACCTTGTACTGATTTCACATCTCAGTATTACAGTGTCGTTACAACCTTGTCCTGATTTAACATCTCAGTATTACTGTGTCGATACAACCTAGTCCTGATATCACATCTCAGTATTACAGTGTCGTTACAACCTTGTCCTGATTTCACATCTCAGTATTACAGTATCATTACAACTTTGTCCTGATTTCACATCTCAGTTTTACAGTGTCATTACAATGTTGTCCTGATATCACATCTCAGTATTGCAGAGTCGATAGAACCTTGTCCTGATTTAACATGTCAGTATTACAGTGTCGATAGAACTTTGCCCTTTATTCACATCGTAGTATTACATTGTCGTTACAATCTTGTCCTGATTTTACATCTCAGTATTACAGTGTGGATACAACCTGGTCGTGATTTCACATCTCAGTATTACAGTGTCGGTACAACCTTGTCCTGGTTTGACATCTCAGTATTACAGTGTCGTTACAACCTTGTCCTGATTTCACATCTCAGTGTTACAGTGTCGTTACAACCTAGTCCTGATTTCACATCTCAGTATTACAGTGTCGTAACAACCTGGTCCTGATTTCACATCTGAGTATTACAGTGTCGTTACAAATTTGTCCTGATTTCACATCTCAGTATTAAAATATCGTTACAACCTAGTCCTGATTTCACATCTCAGTATTACAGTGTCGTTACAACCTTGTCCTGATTTCACATCTCAGTATTACAGTGTCGTTACAACTTTGTCCTGATTTCACATGTGAGTATTACAGTGTCGTTACAACCTTGTCCTGATATTACATCTCAGTATTACAGTGTCGTTACAATCTTGTCCTGATATAACATCTCAGTATTATAGTGTCGTTACAACCTTGTCCTGATTTAACATCTCAGTATTACAGTG